AAAGTTGCCATTTCGGGGTTTTTTAGGTGACTCCGTGTTTACAAAGCCCACAGATCAAAAGGGAACACTGCGTGTGCTGAGGGAAAGAAAAAGCAGAGCACTCCTCTGCTCTTAGACAAGGGTTTAAGGACACGAAGCGCACAAAGCGCTGGCAGGGTGAGCTTCTACGGGCAGAGCCACGGGGTACGGGTGTTCAGGACCTCTCCCAGATTTGATCTGGGGATTAGCATCTTCAGATTGTGTTTGGTTTGGGGCTAAATTGGTTGGTAGGAGACTGGGAAAGGGAAAATTTGGGGGAAATCGATGGCTGTTGATTCTTCCCGAGCCACAAAAGAGCAGAGCTGTGGGTTTAGCAGGACAGGAGTCAAACGCTGGCACTCAGCTCTTCCACTGCCAGAGGGGAAAGGCTGGCAAGGAGCTGCCAGGGCAGTGGCACGCAGGAACAGCACCTATGAGGAAAGGCAGGGGCTCCTGCTCAGCGTCACATACAGCCCTGGGAACCAGTCAAACCCTGCCTCACTGCACAGCCCAAAGGAACACAACCTGACCGCGTTATTTCTGCCCAAACCCAGGCTCTGGGATCCAAAGAGCCCTTAACATCACAGCCAGAGCTGACAGTACCTTAATGGCCTCGATGGCATACTCCACTTGGAACAGCCTTCCCTCCGGAGAAAAGGTGTTCACACCCCTGCAAGAAAACAGCGGAGATGGTGTAAAGGGCAGGAAAGCGAAGGCTGACAAGAAACCTGGTGCCTTATTCAGGAGCACTGGCAGGAAGGGTGATGCCAGCTGGAGACAGGCAACGTGAGGGGCAGCTGGGAGATGTCACAGCTTCACTGGAGCCCATTGCCCCCACCACAGACACTTGCAGGGACTGGATTGAGGATGCTTACAGAGAAAGACCAAGAGGAAAGTCAGCAGGGTTAGGAGGAGGTCCCTTTTCCCAGCACACTGTGCACTGTGGATGCTGGCAGCACGCTGCCTTTGGTCTCCAAGCATTGTGCCTTCTCTCAGCACCAGGAGTCAGCAAGGTTTTGTTTTACCAGCACAGGCCCATTCCTTTCCCTGGATGCCCCATCCCATCCCCTCACACCAGCCCAGCCTGACCACTGCTTCTCCCACCCCACCACACAAAGTGGGAGATGACCCTGCCCTACCCGCCTGACCCCGGGCCTCCGTTCTCACGCAAATGCCCCCTCCCAGGGATTTCTTAAGCCTGGCTTCAGGGGGGCATTTAGCGCGATAAACTCCAGCCTTATGAGACCCCCAGGGACCCCCGCCCGCAGCCTCC